GTTAGGTGTTGGATTGGAGTCCTATCCCCAAGGTCAGCAGTTCGGAACCACCAGCCACTCCATGGGGAGAAAGTGGGGGGTTTCTACTCCCATAAAGAGTTAACTGTCTTGGAGACTGGCAGGGGCAGTTCTACCCTGCCCTGTAGAGTGGCTAGAAGTCAGCACCCACTACCATGGGAGTGAGTTTGAGGTTTTTTAAAATATAGTTACAGGGACCTCCCTGTTTCCTGTGTCCACCTCTCCCCTCCCTCTCAGCCCCCTTCCTGTTCGGTGGGTCTGCTTCCTTCTCGCTGGGCTCATTCTGTCTGTCCACCCCCCTCTTCCTCCCTCCTTCTCCGTCTCCCCCAGGCACCTCTGTCTCCTCTCTCTCTCTCTCTCTCCCCCCACCATATCCTCTGTCTGTCTTTGTCTCAATCTCTCCCCCCACCCCTTTGCCTCTCCCCTTTTCTCCCTTATTCTTTCCTCCCATGACCCCCCCCTCACACACACACCCCACCTCACTTTCACGTAGAGTTTCGTTCAGCAGGTGCTGGTTTAGACAGCTGTGAGCTTTCTCTGGGGAGGGGATGAAGGTGGAATCCAGAAAAATTCAGAGACGTCGAGGGGCTGGGGCACAGACAAGCGTTCCCCCTGTTTATTCCCTCATCAAGACAAACTCCTTCCCTTGGACGGCCAGGGTTGGCATTCCCAGGCAGCTGCCCACCTCTCTGCTCTCTTTGCCTCAGTCTCCTTTCCTCAGGTGCCCTCAGCCACACCACAGCCTCTCACCTCAGGAACTTTGCAGCGTGAGCTTGGTGGGAGAGCATCAAGAGAGGAGAGTTACCTGTGGGAGGGAGCCAGCCCAGGTGGCTCCTCAGTGGAGGGGTCAAATCCAGGCAACCTTCCTGGAGGAGGCACCGGAGGCTGAGTTTTGGAGAAAGACGCCGGTGTGCAGTGAGAAGACGTTGCTGACCGAGAGAACCCCAAGGGTAGAGGCACGGGTCCATGACACCTCTGTTTGGAATTGCCCATCTCACATAGAAGCCCTACTCGATCTACGTGAGCTCAAACCCCAGTCTGCTGCCTCCTTGCTAGGACATGTCAGGCAGATGGTGTAATCTCTAGGTGCCTCCCTCTCCTCATCTGGAGTGGGGGTGGGGATCGGGGGTGTTTCGTCTCAGCCTTAGGATGTTGTTATTAACATGTGTGCAGGACTCAGCCCCGGTGCCTGGTGCCCAGGGAGCAGTTGGTCAGCATCAGCTTGCCCTCTGGGGACAGCTCTCATGTGGCAAGCCAAGGGGACCAGCAGCATCTCACAAGAGCCTGTGAAGGGGCAGTCAGCTTCGCATTTCAGAAGCATCCTCAGGTGGCCGCTGAGAGGTCTTGATGGGAGGCTGCTTTGGAACCTGATAAGACTGATCAGGAGAGGGGGAAGATGGAGGCTGGGGTGGGGGTGTGTATCAGAGGTGAGGGTGGGTTGTGGGGCCAGACTGCCTGGTACAAAACCAGGGGCACTTACTCCCTCTGCCACCATGGCAGGCGACTCCACCTGGCCTGTCTCAGATTCCTCACCTGTCAAGTGGGCATGGTAACAGCACCTACCTCTCGAGTAGCTGCGGCACAGTGACTCGTGGGGCTGCTACCTGCAAGGTTAGCAGTTCTAAACCACCAGCCGCTCTGAGGGAGAAAGATGAGATTACTCTCGGGGCCAGTGCTATCCTGCTTGATGGGGGCTGAGAGGGGTCGGCATCCACTCGAACGGAAGGGAGGTTTTTTAGAGTTGCTGAATGGGGATGCACATGAATCCCTGAGAATCGCCCCAAACATCACGCATCCTTAATAACACTGGACAGCTCGGTGTCACACGGACAGGTGAACGGAAAGGAAGGCCCACCCTGTTTTCCCAAAAGCTGGGGTATCGAGATCCCCAGGATCTCTTCTTCTCAGGATCCACTGACCTCACATGCCAACTGTCAAGGGTAGACGTCATGCCCCCACAGTATAGATCAGAGAGGCTGGCTGGAGAGCTCTCCTCCCCCAGCTGCCAAGCTGTGCCGGAGGCCTCCAGGAAAATGGGTGGAGTTCAGCATGGGTGGGGGCTCCCCTTCTCCGGGGGCTTAATGCTGCGCTAATCTTGTCACTGTCCAGCCTGGCCATCCAAGCAGAGGAAACACGAGTTGTCTGCTTTGTGTCTGCCCGGCAAGCTCGCCTGGAGTCCGCATTCACTCCCTAGCTGACAGAGCGTGACAGAACCCGGAGCAAGGAGAGACGCGGGTGGGAGGGGCCGCAGCGGTGGCCTCCCAGCCTCAAGAGGGCAGGGGGACCTGAGTTCTCACCCGGAATCATGTCGTGAAGCCAGGAGATTGACCAAGGCTCTCTGATCTAAACTGTGGGGGCATGACGTCTACCCTTGACAGTTGGCATGTGAGGTCAGTGGATCCTGAGAAGAAGAGCCCCCCCCCCCCACCCGTGCATCAGGCCCTCTGGGTCTCACAGAGAGCTCAGCTCTTAATGAAGCCAGCTTGTTCTAGGAGTTGGAGTTGGGTGAGGCAGGGGGCCCATAGAACTTGACCTCGCACCCAAGCTTCGCCACTCGCTGCAGGATGTGGACAACCCCATGTATCAGAAGCAGTGATTCATTTGCTGAGTATTTTTTGAGGACCTACTGTGTGCTGGCCAGTGTTTGAGGTGCCAGGACACAGCAAACCAAAGGCCCATAGGGTCTCTACTTACAAAGAGTTGTTATTTTTGAGTTGGGGGGAGATGTCAACCCACAAAAGCAACAAACAAAAAGCAAATAAATAGGACCATCGGAGGTGGTGAGTACTTTGATGTGAGAGAAACCAAGGCAGCTACAGCAGACACAGGGCTCAGGAGGTGCCTCTCTGTAGACGGGCCATTGGATCCATCTACTTACAAGAAGGAACAGGACAGACCCACTCCTCACTTATGGATGACGTGGTAAGGTTCTAAAGACCAGGACGTTATGCAGAAGTCCGCTTTCCGCACAAACGAGAATGGTTGCGTCAGATCACACAATGGAGGGTGACTGCATCCTTACACAACTGCCGGGTCACACCGTTACACAACGGCCAAATGACATCATTAGATATCTGCTTGGTCACACCATTACTTAACAACCAAATAGCATCATTGTACATCTGCCTAATCACACCATCACATAACGATCAAATTGCATCACTACATATCTGCCAAACCACATCATTTTGGGTACCACTGGGGATCCTGGCCCAGGCAAACTGACATATAACCTTCATCCCGGCACCCTCACTCTCACCTCCTATGTCAGTGTTCACTGCTGCCAGGCACATGTCATTCGTGCAGATAAAATAGCCAATGTTTTACTAGTGTTCTAAGGGCATAAAAAATGCCAGCTAATGAGTTAGCTGATAGAGTGAGGAGGCTCACAGCCAATTACTGCCCAGTGGAAGGTTTAGAGAGAGCAGCTTCGAGAACCGGAGGTGGATCGCCCCGACCAGCCTGGGAGATAAACTAAAGCTGTCCAGAGGAGGTGACTCCTGACCTGAGACTTGAGTGACAGGTAACAGAAAGAGGAAGTGTTTCATGATAGAGGGAACAGTGCGTGTGAAGACTCAGAGGTGAGACCTGATGCCTTCAATAGGGGAATTACAAATAGATGCAGTTGGATCCCTGAGCCCCAAAGTTGGGGTGTCCCTGACATTTAGGCTTAAGAACCTGCACTGACTCAGTCCAAGGGGTCTGATCACAAGATGGATGTGATGAGAAGGGTAGTTGAGAGTGGGCACGAGGGGTCAGAGAAGGGCCTGGAGACACAGTGAATGTATGCCCATGGGCAGCATAGGTGGCAGCTCTGTGGGAGAAAGGGCAAATCCCAGGGGCCTATGAAGGAGCAAAGGAGCCGTGGAGGCATAGTGGTTACGGGTTGGGCTGCAAATATTCACGGGCCACAGTTCGAAACCCCCAGCAGCTTCTCAGGCTTTCTACCCCCGTAAACAGATACAGTTTCCGAAAACCCCATGGCATCACTAAGCATCAGCGTTGACTGGATGGCAGTCAGTGTGGTCTTTTTGTTTTGATTTATGAAGGTGCAAGGACTGGCTGAGTGAGCACCTGGGGTCGGGGGAGGTGGGGCAGAGACCCCAGAGATGCACACAGCCTGGTGTCTCCTGGCTCGGCAAGTGGCCGAGGGCTTTGAAGTCTGACAAATGAAGCCAGGTCCTGGATGGCAGCCTTCATCACCTCCACTTCCCCATCTGGCCAATGAAAACGTAGTGCCCCCCATGCCCCCCACTTGAAGAGCTACTGGGGAGATGGAATTTGAAAGCACGGAGCACGCAGCAGACACAAAGTAGATCCCAGCCCACGCACACTCACTGCTGCTCCTCCGCAGAGCCGAGCCCACCGCACGTAGCGCCTGTGGCCAATGCCACTGACATTGCGCCCCGCCCTGTCCCAACCTTGGACACGGTCTTTCAGGTGACCCTGCCGCACCAGCGGCTCGCACACACAATCACGCTCTCTCGTCTTGTACGTGGCACGTCATGGTACCATGTGAAAAATCATCACCGCACCGGCCTTGCTCTCATTGATGGAGATTGGTCTCTGAGGCTCTCCAAGTCATTCCCCACTCCCCTACCCCCTCTATTTTCTTTCCTTTCTGCCCTCAATGGAGCAAGATGACTCAGTCTGCCTTGACCCACTGTGACGTCGCCCCGCCCTGCTTGAGCTTCGGGGCTGCTGATGGAGAGCACGGTGGTTACTGGAAACTGCTCAGAGAGCCCCCTCCCTCCCCGGGGCCGCCTGGACCATGCCGTGCCTTGCCGCCCTGAGCTCCAACTCTTCCTGCTTTTCCCCTTGGCCTTGGGTACCCACTGCTCCCCTGGGGGCCTCTGTTTTCTCGGCTGTAGACTAGAACAAGAGTATTTTCTCTGGGGTGCTGCTGACATGTCTGTAGGCTCGGTCACACCCCCAGAAAGACACTCCCAGGTCTCAGAGTCTTCTCCGTTCTCCTTCCCCAGCAGGAACAGCTGTGACAGAATGGCCTGGCAGGGGCTGCTCCTGGCTGTCTGCGTGCTCACGCTGCCCTCCGTCTCCACAGACTGCCTGTCCCCGTGTTCCTTGTGCGCAGTGAAGACCTGGGATGGGCCCCGGCCCATCAACCCACTGGTAGGTTTCAGGCAGGGTCTTCCAGACCCAGGGACTGGCCATCGGGGTATAATGCTCAGGGAGGCTGGCTTTTTCTCTGGAGGCTGGTCTCATCTCTGCAGGGCCTGCCAGCCCAGAGGACAGCCTGGGCACCTGAGGCTGCCGTTTCTAGCCCCACTCCCACCACCACCACCACCACCTCCCGGGGCTGCCCCCACCAGGGGTCCACTCAGGCCCAGCAAGAGGCTCAAGGCTTCCAGGGAGTCTGGAGCCAGACTACAGGGAGGGCCACTCCTTAAGTGCTAGTGACTTTGGTAATGAGTGGCCCAAGGTGGACGCTGCAGGGTATCTCTCGGCGGGACGGATAGACGTAAGCTAAACTGACTGCCGTCGAGTTGAGTCCAGCTCCTAGCAACCCGATTAGGGTTTCTGGGACTGGACATCTTTACAGATGACTGGAGGACTTGAAGACCTGACCTTGTGGTCAGCAGTGCGACACTTGCCCCACAGCGCCACCAGGGCTCCTTATCAGGCTGCTACTCAAAACTCGAACTCACTGCCGTCAAACCGGCTCCGACTCATCACGACCCCACAGGACAAGGTCGCATTGCCCCTGTGGGTTTCTAAGCCTTCACATCTGAATGGGAGTAGACAGCCTCATCTTTCTCCCGAGGTGGGGTTGAGGGGTTAGAACCGCAGACTTTGCAGCAAGTTGTTCAGTGTGTGGCCCACAATGCCACCCCTGGACTGATAGGCACCTACAAATCCAGTTGTTGCCATGAAAAGAGGCCTGTCCACCTCTTAATTACCAGTGTCTGGAGGACCAGATCAAAGCCTTGACCCATCGCCTGAGTCCTCGCACCTCTTGACCCAACCTTGATTGTGCTCCGAGGCCCACTTCTCCCTGTGCCTCCCTTACTGGCAGCAGTGAGGCTGGAGTCCAGGCACCAAGGGTGTAATGCACTGACCACCCCGTTTCCTCGGGTGCAGTGTGAGGATAATTGCACGAGATAATGTGGGAAGCACGTGATGCATGAGGCTATCCCCTGGTTACTAAGGCACCCGCGACAAGCCCTTCGATGTTGCCCTTCGATGGCTTCAGGAGATCCCCGCGGTTAAGCGTGAGAGCTTGTGGTGCTAGATGGTCGGCCTGGGCACAAGGTCCGCTATTGTCTCTCATACCCGCTGTTGACTGTCGGCCTGGGGCAAGCGATGTGACTTCTCTGTGCCCTAGTTCTAGGGACCCTGGTGGCACAGAGTTAAGCGCTCAGTCGCCAACCAAAAGGTCAGTGGTTAGGACACCCTAGAAGTTCCTTGGGAGAAAAAAAGTCAAGGTGACAGTCTGCTTCCATAAAGATTCCTGGCCCAGGAAACCCGATGGGGCCGCGCCCCTCTGTCTCACAGGGTCTCTATGACGCAAATTTGACTCAACAAAGCCATGGGCTTAGGTCTTTTCATGTTCTCTCATGTAAAAAGAGGCTGATGAGCGCTAACAGGGTGGTTGGGGATCAAAGGCATTATCAATGCCTGAGAGGCACTGGGAACAGAGCCTGGCACATCGTAAGGGCTGTGTCTCCATGCACATTGGATTCTCTCAGCGTCTCTATCAGGTCCATGCTATTGGGGTTGTTGTGCCTGCTCACGTGTTGCTGCTACCGCTCTGTGTGGCTGCTGTCTCAATAAGACAGTGCCACATCCTTCACACCCAGAGAGCCAACCATTCCCCTTGGGAATCAGACGTGAGGAAGAGGGTGGGGGAACTCAGCAGAGTACTGCAAGAAGCACTCACTTTCCATCCTGAACTGGCCACCTGTCACCTGTCACCACGAGCCCCAGGGAAAGCGCTCCGAGCTCTCTAAGCCCGCTTCCTCTTCTCCACAAGGGCACCATACCGCCTCCCTTTACGCAGCATGGGAAGCATAAAGGTGGGCAGCCCTGTGGTAAGCCCCATAGCTAATGTGGGTGGGTGTCAACATTGGACGCTGACTCTCCAGGGTGGGAAGAGCACGGGGATTTTGGGTTCATGGTGGTCTTCTTGGGTCTTTTGCAGGTTTGCTCCCTGGAGTGCCAGACCTCCATGCTGCCCTCTGGAGAGTGGGAGCGATGCCAGGGTCTCCTGACCATGTTCACCCTCGGGCTCAAGGGCCAGGGAGACTTGGAGAGGAAGGCCCTGTTGGAAGATCCCCGTGGTGAGGTGGCTCACCCCTCTGGGCCCTTCCTGAAGGAGCTGGTGAAACACAGTTTCCTCCCCAGCACGGGAACCCAGGAGGATTCTCTGAGCCCCAGCCTGGAGGAGAAGCTCAGGGGCCTGTCAGGCAGGGCTGGGGAGGGAGCCAAGCTGGAGCAGGTGGGGAAAGCACAGCTGGAAGGTGGTGTGATGGAGGCAGAGCCACTAGGGTCTGATGAGGTGGACCCCAAGGAACAGGTTAAGCGCTATGGGGGCTTCTTGCGCAAATACCCCAAGAGGAGCTCGGAGGTGGCCGGAGAGGGGGACAGGGACGAGGATGCGGCAGGCCACGAAGACCTGTATAAACGCTATGGGGGCTTTTTGCGGCGCATCCGTCCCAAGCTCAAGTGGAACAACCAGAAGCGTTACGGTGGTTTTCTCCGGCGCCAGTTCAAGGTGGTGACTCGGTCTCAGGAAGACCCCAATGCCTACTCCGGAGAGCTCTTTGGGGTGTAAATGCCTCCCCATCGTGGAGTCCAGTTCAGAGGCACCCCCACCCCGCTGTCCCCCCAGATCGGAGTGCATTCAGTCATCCTTTCCTGCGTGCCCGTCCCGCTTAGCCCAGCCCTTTCCACAGAACATCCAAACCAGATGGGCTTCTCTTCTGGGATCCACACTGAGGAAGGCAGGGGGTTCCCCACCAGCTCATAGGCTTAGTGTTTGTCCCAGCTCATGACCAACTTCTGAAATCTGTCCCTCCGTCATGTTCTTATGACTCCTGCCCCCCCAGTCTCAATGACCCAGTGTGACGTGGACTTCTAGAGCTATGACTCCCCAGCTTTACTGACCACCTGCTCCTTTCAGAAGAAACATGAGAAACAACCCCCCCGCCCCCCATCGCCAGATGAGCTATGGAGGGAGCTTCAAAGAGTTCATGGGAAATGGGATGAAAAGATAATGACATTGTGGTAATGCTGGTACAACTCTTCTGGATGGGACTGAACTATTGAACTGTATGATCTACGCATTGTGTGCCAATAAAACTTGTTTCAAAAGATCATGAAATTTCCTCAAACTTTTTGAAGCCCCCTCATCTACTCACATCGTACACATGTATCCTAAAACATACAAAAGGTAGACATGTACAACAAGATGTGGATATTATTCAGTGCCATCAAGTCCGTTCCAACTCGTAGCCCCCTGCACTCAGTGGAATAAAACACTCCCTGGTCCTGGGCCATTTTCACCAGGGCTACTATGGTTGAGCCCATTGCTACAGCCTCTGTCGGTCCACCTCACTGTGATCCAGCTCACTGACTTTACCGAGCATGATGCCTTTCTTGAGAGACCGGTCCAAAGGGTGTGGATGGGCTTGAGAGACCGGTCCAAAGGGTGTCCTGCCATCCTCACTTCTAAGAAGCATTCTGGCTATCCTCCATCCAAGACAGGCCTGGTCATTCTTTTGGCAAAATTCTCAACACTTGCTACAGCCATTGAGTTAATTCTGACTCACAGTGTTTTAGTCTGGGCACTTTAGTGAAACAAATCCACAGAAACTCATCTGTATAAGAGAGAGTTTTAGATAAAAGGCAAGTGCACATCAAGAAGACATCCCAACCCGGTGTTGCCCAAGCCCACAAGTCCAAATTTAACCCATATGTCCGACACCAATCCACAAAGTCCTCCTCCATCTCAAAAAACACACGCAATGATGCTGACTACAGGAGGAAAGCCGAATCAGTGAACATGTAAGCATTTCAGCACTGGCAGGGGTCTCCACACGTCTGCTGCAGCACCCAGGGCTGCATCGGGATAGATCCATGCGGCTTCTCCTTGGGGATATCTTGCAGGAAGTGAGCCTTGCCAGCTGAAGCAGGGAACTGGCTAAGGCAGCTGCACCCTGGTCCAACCATCAGAAAGCAAGAGACCTGAGAACTAGAAAGGCGAGGCTCACCAAGCCATTTATCCCTCCACCCTTCAATTAAACCCACGTGTTTATCGTCCAGGCTGGCACAATAAACTTTAACTATCTCACATGGCGACCCTATAGAAGAGAGTTGAACCTCCCCTAAGAGTTGCCGAGACTAACTCTATGAGAGTAAAAAGCTTCGTCTTTATTATTCACCAATACCACGGTTCAAATCTATCAATTATTCTTCAGTCTTCCATATTCCATTGTCTGGCTTCTACATGCATTTGAGGTGACTGAAAGAACTTCCTTTGAATCAGGCACCTCTTAGTCCTTGTGTTAGTCTGGGTAGACTAGAGAAACAAATTTATGGACACACATGTGTATAAGAGAGAGTTTTATCTAAAGGGTAATTGTACATTAAGAAAGCATCCCAACCTAGTCCAGTCCAAGCCCCAAAGTCTGATATTAACCAATATGTCTGATACCAATCTATAAAGTCCTCTTCAGACTCACAAAACACATGCAATGATGCCAAATGCAGGACGATCACAGGCCAGTGGGTGCAAAATCTTTTGGATCCAGTGGTGGTAGAAGCATCTCAGCACAGGCAGGGGTCTCCACATGGCTCCTCCAGTTCCCAGGGCACAGGGTCTATCAGCGTAGTGACATATGTCTTGTCAGTAGAGTGAGCAGAGAGAAAGAGAGTCTCCCCTGCCTTTTGAGGAGGTAAAAACCAGATTTCCAGAATTCTTAGGAGAAGGCCATGCCTACACAGAGGTTTCATTGGCTATAAAATGAATGGCAGGCTAGACTCCACCCCTTCACTCCCAATCCTCAAACTGACCCCAGATTATGTAACTACCACAGTCCTCAAGGTGACACCTTCACTTTTTAACACGTTGAAAAGGTCCCTTGCAACCAGTTTTTCCAGGACAGTGTGTCATTTGATTTCCCGACGGTCCGGTCCCTTCCACAGGCATTGGCTTTGGATGCAAGTAAAATGACATCCCTAACAACTCCAGTGGTTCCCCCAGTTGTCATGATGCTGCGTGTGAACTGGACGCTGCTCCTGTCCCCTCGTGAAGGTGTTGGTTTCATGTTGAGGAGTACTTCCCATTATGGAAGGCTGTCATCTTTGGTATCCAGGAGTGAGTGCTTCGAGACCTCCTCCAGCAAAGTTGTAGCATCCGTTTCTCACAGGTGGCTGAGGAGCCTCCCTTCAATACGGAGAGCATGTTCTTCGTTGAGAGTAGCTTCTCGGATTATTAGCTCAGCATAAAGATTAAGTGCAGTGACAGACTGCAGCCCGGAAGCACACCTTTGCTGATTGTCAACCGTGCAAGATCCCTTTGTTCTGGTCTCTTGGTCAAGGGAGGTTCTGGAATTGGGGGGATTTTCATTATTTGCAGTGTTCTCCATGGTGTGTTGTGGACCATACAGTCCAATACCTTTACATTGTCACAAACACCTTTCTAGAATTCTCTGCCTTCACCAAGAGACGGCTGACATCAGCAATGCTACCCCTGGTGTGATGGCCTTTTCTGAGTCAGGTTCGAATGTCTAGCTGCTCTCTGTTGATGTACTGCTGCAGTTATTTCTATAAATTATATAACTTTGGCATTGTTTCTTTGCATATGATACTGATTTTGTCCCATAATTTATGCATTCTTGAAGGATCACCTTTCTTTGGGAAGGGCAAATATATTGATCTCTTGTGATGGGTTGGCCAGGTAGCTATCTTCCAAATTTCTTGTCATAAATGAGTGAGCACTTCCTGGATTGCATCTGTTAAAAATATTTCAGCTGTGTCTGTCGATTCCTGCAACCTGGCTTTTCTCCATTGTCTTTAGCACAGCTTGGAGCTCTTCCACGCTTCCTTCAGTACATAGATTCTTGGCCATATGCTACCTCCTGCAATGAACATAGACTAATCATTCTTTTTTTGGCACAGTGACTTCATGTCTTCCTTCCATCTTTTTTTTTTTGATGCTTCAGCATCATTCAATATTTTGCCCATAGAATCCTTCAACGTTGCAACTTGACGCTTGAATTTTTTTCTTGAGTTGAATCAGCTTGGAAAATGCCGGGCAATTCTTCACTTCTGGTTTTCCAGCTCCCAAGTTTGTGCACATTTCATTTTAATACTTTGTCTTCCCGAGCCACCTTTTGAAATCTGTTCTCTGATGTCATCATTTCTTCTGTTTGCTTTAGCTACTCTATATTCAAGAGTAAGTTTCAACTCTCTTCTGACATCCATTTTGCTCTTTCCCCCATTTTTAAAATGACCTTTCAGTTTCTTTGTGTCTAATGCGCTTGATGTCATCCCACAACTTGTCTGCTCTTGGGTGATTGACAGTTCATTTGTCCAGTCTGTTCTTGAAACGGCCTCTAGATCCAGGCGGAATGCACTCTAGGTCCTACGTTGGCTGCTGTGGACTTTAAAAATCTTTTATTTAGTTTCAACTCGCACTTGCATCTGAACATTGATGGTCTCTTCCGCAGTTGGCCCCTGGCCTTCTTTGGGCTGATGATATCGGGCTTCTCTACTATCTCTCTGTCAACAGATGTAGTTGATTTGATTTCTGTATATTCCATCTGGCAAGGTCCAAGTGTACAGTGGCTGTTTATGTTGTTGTTGGGGGGGGGAGGCATTTACAATGGATAAACTGTTGGGCTTGCAAAATTCTATTATGCGATCTTCAGGGGAATTTCAGTCACTAAAGGCCAGGTTTACCTACTGCGGCCCCCTTAGGTTTCCAACTTTTACATCCCAATTATCAGTAGCTACCAATGCATTTTGACTGAGTGTTTGTCCAACTTCAGACTGTGGAAGGTGGGGAGGGGGGAAACCCTCCCACTTCTTCATCTTTGACATTAGTGGTCGGTGTGTAAATTTGAACAGCAGTCCTATTAACTAGCTTTCCTTGTCCAACATGATGGATAGCCATATGTGACATCCTAATATTTTACTCCCAAATCTTAAAGAGCCTCCATGTGCACCCCACTTTGGAGACCACACTTAAGGGGGGATCAAAAGAAACCCCTCGAAGCTATCTTTTCTTGGAGCAGGAATTCCTACATGGAAGATTTCAGACTTCCATTCGGCTAATTGCCACATTGGTATATTTCAAGATCTCACTATAGAAATAAATCTTTTGACTAACAGACTCTCTGATTCCAGTTCTTGCTGGTCCTGGGACAGTGCTTGACTCCTCACTGAAGGTGGCGTTGCTAGGCACCCTGGAGTGCCATTCCCACAGGAGTGACCCCGGGCGGGAGGAGTGGAAATCCCTCTCCTCGATGGTGCATTGAGAGCACTTCCTTCTGAATGCTGAACTGATCGAGGAGGGAGCGAGGCAAACCAATTTGTTCTGTGCAACAATATCAAAATGTGGACCAGTTCCCTGAGCCCTCATTAGACTAATTAAACCGATCGGTATCATACTCCTACCCCGGGATGAACTGAAGCAGAGTCAAATTGATGAGGTTAAGCACAGCCATGTTCTTGAGCAGCTGAATCGGCCACCAAGAGTCCGCGCCATCTGGTGTGACATATGCATTGGGCATTGAGTAAGGGAATCCAAAAGCAATGCTGCACACAGGAAAAAAGGCCCTCTTCACTCTCCGGGATGGTTTTTCGCTCTAATGTCTCCCAATAAAGCCAGAAAGAGGGACGCAATGACGAAGTGCTTGAGGGCAAATGAGCTCCCTTGATTCAAATAACCCAGAACCAGAGGCAGGAGGCCTCCGGATGTCTTGGTTTCATCAAAGTTTGCCTCCCCTCCTCTTCCTCCCCAGCCCTCCCTCCTTTCTCTCCCTCTCTCTTCTCTCCTTCCTCCCCTGTCCCCCTCCCCTTCTCTCCCTGATCTCCTCTCCACTCCACTCCCCTCTCCCCCACTCCCATTCTTTCTCATCCCCAGGCAGGATGGCTTGGTTTGGTTTGTGAGTCTGGGAGGCCGGCTGGAGAGGAGAGGAAACGGCCTCGAGTCTGGCTAATTTGTGCAGAGTGCTCCTGAACACACATGCAC